TATCTATCCAGGCCTGGCCAATGGTGAGATGCCTATTTTAGGGCTTACCCTACATTTCTATCTATCCAGGCCTGGCCAATGGTGAGATGCCTATTTTAGGGCTTACCCTACATTTCTATCTAGGCCAGGCCAGGCCAATGGTGAGATGCCTATTTTAGGGCTTACCCTACATTTCTATCTATCCAGGCCTGGCCAATGGTGAGATGCCTATTTTAGGGCTTACCCTACATTTCTATCTATCCAGGCCAGGCCTCCTCAAAACTCTGCCCCAAATCCAGTCTTGTCCACTAATGGCCCTTCTTCCTCTGATAAGCAGCTGGGTTGGTTTCAGCAAATGCAGTGAAGAGAATCTTGGAACTTGGTGTACTGCTGGAATTTGATCCCAAGAAAGCCACCGAGGGGGCTAAAAAGTTCCAGTTAATCCTCCTCCCCGATATCCTGCCTTAGTCATGGAAGCGGCCACCACTCTGTTGCACAGCATGTACTTTCCAAGAAGAAAATATTAGAACAGGGCAAGCTAGAACAATGGTGAGATTCACAAAGGTTCACTTATCTTCTTCCCTTTGCCCCTCCACCCCTGCCCCAAATCGATCAGCAACAACATGGATTAGCTTACCATAAGAGATCCACCAGGCCTCCCTGTCTAGCAATGGCAGATTTCACCCGGTTGGCAAACTGCACCGCATCTTCATCAGGCTGAAAGGAAGACAGCCCAGAGATCAGTTTTTGCAGAAAGGGCCCTGGGGGAACCTCAGCTGATTCTTCTGGCATCCAGAGGCCCAGATCCAGTTCACTCACCTCTCTGGTCATTGGAGGCAAGTACCAGACGCTGCAGACAATTGCCCAGCTAGTCATCATCCTGAGCAGGTAGGTCACCATGCCATATTTGCTGCTGTTAAAAAAGGCATCTCCAAATTGGGGGTCATACTGAAGACAAAAAAGGGGGCAGATGGGAGAAAGGAAAGATGGTGAGAAGGTTCAACCCAGAGCACAAGAACGAGTGTCCCAAAGCTAGCGTGTTTCTAGGCATCCCATTCTCTGTGGTTGAAAACAAGTACGGCAAAAGGGCTCTCTTTTCTAATTGCGTTCCAATTCTATGATATCCATGTTTAATCATCCCATCACGGCAGATTGTCCCATTTTATCCTCCTGACCACTCTCTGAAGTAACAGGCTGAAACCACTCACAGCATCATCACAGCGTAAAGTAGGGAATGCTGGGCACCCACCCCAGATGGAACCCAGTGCAGCTGGAATTGCCCCAAGGGCTCTGACCAGTACGAAGTCTGGCAACAGCGTGTGGACCGTCATGGCTCTTCAGAAGGACCAGTTACCGCTAAGCTCCAAAACAAATGTCTCTGCCAATTGATTAATTGGGCACTCAGCTGCAAGGCTCGGTCTGCCCTTGGCTTTGTGGTATGTGATTATGTTTGGAAGGGTGGAATTTTCTGCTGAAACCAGCCATTAATGGCAAGGAAGCACCCCATTCAGGTATTGCATACTTTTACACCTGTGTGTTCACAATCAGAACAACCTTAAGAACATTATGGGTGATCATCAAAACAATAAGCTCTGTTGAATCTTTACATGGATACAGTAATTATTCCATGGGCACAGTATCTAGAGCTTCCAACAAAATCTAATGAGACTTACTTTCTCTCTTTTACTTTAGTTAACATTTTACTGAAGGTTTTGCAAAGTTTCCTCTACAAATGTTCCCAAACACCCAAATTCTTCATAAAGAGATAGACTCCCATTAGACACAGGCCATCCCGCTATCACTCGATTTGAGGTTTTTTTATGCTTATGTGGCCAAAACCATATCAGCAGACTGTAGCTCTCTCCCCTCCAGTAAACGTGGCCCAGAAATAAATAGCTGAGAGGTTTAGGAAAGACACATAGATACAAAACAAACAAATATAGCCTCATTATGGATCAAATACTATATAACAGACTGCCTGGATAGATCATTTGTTCCTGACACTAAAAAGCTATTTTAAAATGTCACCAGGGTCAGAAATGGACCCGTTTTTTCATGCCCCAACCTAAATCCAACTTTACTCCTTGGAACTTCTCTTGCTGACTTTGGTGTATTTCCAAAAAATTGACACTGCATCCCAATAAATCCTATAAAAATGGAAATTAAACAAAATGGGCAGACTCCGCTAGGGAGTTCTCCTACCTGAGAATTACCGAACTAAGGGCTCGTGGTTCAGTGTTGTACTGTGTTGTACAGTGTTGTAATGGGAAGAAGCCTGCCTTCTTCCCATTACACTTGATTGTGGGATCAGAGGATTGCATTCCAGAAGCAGTCATGATAAAAGGTTGGGTCCTACCTACTCTCAGATATCTCCACCACACCCAGAAAGTAGTGCCACTCCTCTCTTTCCAGGTGCCATTCTTAGCTATTCTTAAAGTTTCAGTGTATCTGCTAAGTGGCAACGGTTCTCACCTTGATGGCAACAGGATAAACTGTAGCATCAATCTCAAAACTCCCTTTTTTGAACATCATCACAGAAGTGTTGTTGATACAAGTGCCTGTTAAAAGAAATGACAGTAAATTTCCTCTCCGTGGAATTGATGCAGGGTAGTGAGATTTGCTCACAGTGGAAATAATGTATGTTAGAGACTGGTAAGACCTTAAAACAAGAGGCCTCCAGATTGCTGTTCCAAGCAATATAATCGACCCATCTGATTTAGACTGGCACACAGAAGCACACGTGTTTGTTTGTGTGAAAACAGAATAAACTCTTTCAATTTATAGTGCTCATCCCAAATAGCCATTTTCAGTTCGGAACAGGAAATTGGGAGTTGTAGCTCTCTTTGTTTTATTCTTTTTTCTTTTTGGTGGTTATTATTTCTATTAAACATTTTATAAAGAAGAAACACAAGTAAGGCAAAAGAAAAAAAGTAAAAAGAGAGAGAAAAAAGAAAATAAAACTGAAAATACAAGCACCATAAACTTGAGTATTTTTTTTAGAACATTAATCTTGTTTTATGTAATTACATATCTTATGCCATTTTAAACTATGGATCATTATTAAAGTCACGTGCTGGGGGAGATGGGTAGCATACAAATTTAATAATAAATAAATAAAAATTATTAAAATCAAGTCAGTATGCAAATATCATGACATAATAAACTCAAAGTAAAAAATTACAGTAATTTCTATCTAGTGAGCAAAAAAAAATCTATCATGTAACAAATCATCTAAGGCTTAATTATAAGAAGTTTTATCTTAAGAGAAACCCACATTTTGGATATAGTAGAAGCCCATGTGTAGAATTATCATTCAAAAAAGGTTTCCACACTAGAAGAAATTCTGTGTCAGATTTGTTTTTCAAACATGAAGTCATCCTAGATATCAAAGGATACCCCCCCAACTTAATTTGCCATTCTTCTACAAAAGGAATGGCATGTGCTTTTCAACTAGAAGCACAGCATATCCTTCAGTTGTTACTATACAGAAAATAGAAAATACAGTTGGCATACTTTGTGGGAATATTTTGTTTTATTCTGAGCTGCACGACAGGCTCATAGTGCTGTGGACCTAAGAGCAACCTTCCCCGTTTCCATCATGGTCATGGTCCTCCACCCCAAGCAGCAACGTTCAGTTAGGAAAAAGAAGCTACTTTCATTCTACTTTCTTCTTGAGCTCTATGGTTTAGAGGCCAACTTTCCACTTCATCCATTTAAGTAAAAGACACGCTCATCTCTCTTAATTTGGGCTTACCTTCAGGGAAAATAAGGATGGGCAGTTTATTTTTATCATGAGCATGTTCTGATAGCCTAAAGGAAGACACAGAAAGAAAGAGAATGCTCACATCATTGAGAAACATCTTGGTAGCTCCAGAAACAAACGTCAGCAATGCAGGACTGCATTCCCAGTCATGTACACACAATCCAGCAAGACTTTGCTCCGCTTCACTCTACCTACAGAACAAGTCACGAGCTACATACCGTCTAGCCACTAGATGGCGATCCTTGACTTCAGAACGCTCAAACCAGACATGAGGACAAGCCTTCACCATGGCCCTCTGTATGACACCCATGAGCCCTCCATGGATTTGGCCCACCTGAGCAAAGGAGAAGATGAAGAGGTCAGAGGTCACCCCCCACAGCAGTACCAAAATAAAGTAGCTGGGCTAAAATATCAGGTAGTTTTACTCATAAAGGAAGTGCCTTTGGCTCATAAGACACTCTGTCCTATAAAAATTCTAAGCATTATGGGGTGTGAGATGTTGGGAAACTGAAACTCTCCAGAGGCTGGGCTATCTGCCCTCCCACCATTCACAGATGCAGGCAATTCCAGTGGTGGAGGAAGGCAACTGCTGGTTTCAAGGGATGGGCTAGTAGATGACCACAATAGACTATGCCAAAGCCTGACTTTCTCCAGAAGTTGAGAGCTGCTCTTCCAGAATCCCAAGCTTCCAAGAACAGAAGAAGCACAAATGATGCTGGAGAAGTAGTTCAGCTGCCCCACTTGCTCCAGCCCAACTGGCTACCATCCAAATGTACAAGTGATGTCCTAGAAGAGGTGACCAGCATCTGCTTCTTTTCCATGGAGGCTATGAGGGGCATTGCCCATGTAAAGAAAGCTACTGAATTCAATCTGACAGAAGCATATAATGGATTTATTCTGCACCAATGGGGAATTTTAAAAGAAAGGATGAGATGGAATGAGGTCCAAAACACACACACACATGCACACATACATACAGACTTGCTGCCCTTACCATTGCATAGTAGCCATCACTGGCCAGAATTATGACATCAATTGGAGATGTGTGGTTAGCCACACAGATTCCTCCATTGCGGGGCCTGTTTTCCCTAAAGTTAGGAAGGAAAAAGAGGTAATATGAAAAACTGAAGCAAACAGTCAATTGACTCAAGAGTAAGGCTACATTGGCTTGTTTGCACGCATCCCTCACTCCCCATCTGCTCTCTTATTGGACAATGAACCTCTACGCCTTGCTCCACAGACAAGGGCAGTATATATTTCACTTAGAACACAAGCACACAAAAAAACTAAATCAATATAAGAACCACAAAACTCTGTGCCCAAAAAACTCCACAAATAGCCAAATACCTAAATTGTACTATTAATGTAATCTGCATTCTCTTCTCCGCTGCCTTTGTGCAATCTTCCTTCAGATTTTGCTATTTATGAGGAAACGATCCCTTAAGCAACAGAAATCTCATCTGGCCATCCTTTTGTTGACTGACACTATAATGGACTTTGCTCACAAATTTCTAAGTCTATCATCTCAGCCATAATATTCAGTAACTTGCTAAATGTTTAAAATGTTTACATGTCAACTCTCTAGCCAGTCCTACATTTTGCCTGTGCTGCACTCCCAGAGAACAGCGGCATGTAGAAAGATCTGTTCTTTTTCTCTGGGCAAATATATCACGAACTTTCACCCAGACCCCACCATACCGGTGATGATAAGTGATGATAGCTGTAAGAGCTCGTACACAGATCCGATAGCACATCAGGTGTACGTGTTTGCTGAGGAATTCTTTGCACCTAAAGACAAAAGGAAACATGTCATTCAGTCTCAATTTATAATCAACCCAACTGCTGTCATGCTAATAATTTATATCCTCATTACTTTGCCTTCCCCAAACAACACTTACAGGTGGTGCAAGAAAAAGTATGTGAACCTTTTGGAATTTCATGGTGTTCTGCATTAATT